AGAGCTGCCCCCTCTGTCCTGCCTGAACAGAGGACGGAGGGGTCTGCAGCGGGAGGGGGCTTCCAATGAGAAAGGTGGGGTGCAGGGCCAGAGACCAACACCACCGCATACGGACTCCCCTGCCCTCTCCCTTCCACTCCTGTGCCTCGTCACGGGAAGCACTTGAGGAGACGGCTGCCTCGGCTGAGCCAGAGCAGCCGCGTAACCCGCACGACCCGCATCTCGCAGGGACTCCCCGGCAGGCAGCCCCCGACCCAAGCCACCCCCACACCTACCAAAAGGGGCTGGGAGCCGCGCCGTTCCCCCCGTGCTCGTCGACAAGCACACCAGAAGGGGAAGGCAGGGCACCGAGGTCTCACCGAAACGTGCCTGCCGTGCCGGTGCGTGGTTTCGCGTAGCGCTCGCAAGCGCAGCATGCCGCCCCTTTGGAAACATCCCCTTCCTCCGAGCAGGGACTGCCGGGGCAAAAGAGGCATTTCCAGCTCTCCAGGGAGGCTGCTCTGCCCACCTACTCACCCCAGCATCTCCAATGTGCCCAAACACACTTTTCTTTTTTATTTTTACCTCTTCAATACAGAAATGCATTCTGAACACAAACTCTTCTGTGAAAAGGCCACTTTTAATATTAATTGCTTTGCCTTCATAGAAGGAGCTGGTAAACTATATTTTTAGCAGCTGCTTCCCACTAAATAGCATTCTTGCAGAAAGCCACTTGACTGATTGTAACTAAAAATGTACCTTTTTTGAGCTTAACAATAGCACTAAAGAAAATGATAAACAAATTTTTTGGTGGATAAGAAATCAAATGATTTGATTTGCCTCAATGACTCTTTTTGATAGTGCTAAAGATTGTACCTAGAAGTAATTAAATGTAATCTCAATTCTACTTTGTTTCTAAGAACTTTGGCTCGATACATTGTCACTCTGCAATGCTATAAGCAGTTACTCAAACACTTCATCGGGGTCCACAGCAGATAACACAATCTATTCCATCTACTAACAGAGCCTCATACCACCCCCCACCACAGTGATAGCAACATAATCTCAGCTGTTTAAAAATGTAAAAAAAAAAAAAAAAATCATTATCTTGTGATATGTGCCTTTACCCAATTCCCGTCACCCAGCGATTGACCCTTCTGAGCCCCAAGCAGAAGGCTTGAAACAATGTGAGAGTGTATTGTGCACAGGCTCCCAAAGTTAGCTGAATACAGCTAACTCAGCGGGGTTTCAGAGCCACAATTTAAGGCTAAATTGGCTTGCTCTTCATAGAGGAACTATGTTTCCTTAGGATTAGCAATAAAGACTGCCTGAGCTGGTCTGACAAATCAGCCTTTTACCCAAAAATGCCAGATTATAGCCTGCAATATTTTTATTCAAAAGCAATGGAAAGAATAATCTCTTCAACATTCTCCTGCGTTCAGCTAAAATACACTTAATTGCATCAGGCACTACCAAACATTTTTCAAGCCCAGAAAATAATAACATGCCTGACATTATGGCAACATAAACCACAAGAAGTACCGTAAAAGATTTGATTTAAAGGCCAATGCTAAAGATGTTCACAGGGAAGGTTTAAAAATCTCACCTTAGCTCACCCTCTCATGCTTACGTGCTCGTAGGAGCTGCTGATTCCCATCCCACACAGGTCGCTCAAAATGCATCGTCCATCAAACTGCCCTCGAAGCAGCTGGTAAAGTAACTAGCGTTTGGCCCACAGTATATAACATCTCATGCTCTCTTGAAGACCTCTTTAGCTTCTAGCAATTTCAGGGTGAGGTAATGGCAGATTTTTGGCATCCACTCCGCACCGCCTTGATTCTGTACAATGCATTGTGTCAGTGCGATGGATCCGAGCCTAGCTGGGGACTCATTAATCCACAGATTTCTTTTCTAAACACACAATTTTCTGAAACAATAATGCGCATTAACTCCTCCGGAGTTGCTAAAGTCTGCTGCAAATCAAAACCTGTTTGGGCCCCCCTTACTGAAGTTAGATATTTCTGTGACCATAATGACCCAGGCTCTGCCAAAACAGCTACCAGACATTAGTAGCAAGACCCCTACTTTACACTATTATGGCAATTTTATTGAAATTTAGGCAATGCCTTTGCTCAACAACGGCTTTACAAGACAAAAATCAGATGTCAATTTATTTTTTTTTTTTGCTTTCAAAATACATGCAGGCACTAATCCTGGAATAATAGGCTCATAAAACATCAGCTTAGAAAAATGCAGCAATTACACTGATCCAGCAAGCTGTCCACGGGAGACGGCTTTGTTTCTACATTTTGCTTTGCTGAACTCCACTTGCAAGCATATTAAGTATACGCTCCTGCAGATTAACTTTTCCTCTGCAAGTGAATGGACTGGAAGACTATACACGGCCAATTTCTGGCTCACCCCATGGAAGGAGGGACAGCACTGGGACCTTATGGAGCAGTCTTCTGGAGGAGCGTGGTGTCCCTCTGGGGGGATTCCCCCCCCTCTCCGAGACAGGACAAGTTTAGGGATGGAGGTTGATAGGGAGAGATGACAGAAGGTAACTGTCACATCCACTCCCGATGCCCTATCTGACAGCTGTTAAGTACAGCCTGACTTTGGCCACCTGATGTCTGGAGGAGGAGGAGGAGGTCTGTGCTAAGCGTCGGTGTCACCCAGGCTCGGAAGCTGGCCCTGCCGTACACAACCCTCCGGTGCCCGGCCCGCTGTTCACCGAGATTTCTCAGAAGGCACAAGTATAGCTTAACAAACAGATCTGGCCCTTCACGTATCAGGATGCTCTTGTGGAAGTACTTTGCCATGGAGACAAATCATTTCTTATGTAAAATGTCCTCTTCCCACAGAACCTCCTCCCATGACCCGCTGCTGCCGGTCCCCACCCTCACATCGCCCCGTGCTTTCACTCCCGACCCCCGCTCCCACCCTTGCCAGCCTTGGCCTCCTCTCTGACACAGCCTTGCACTCCAAAAGAAGGGAGCCTGGGTAAGCAGATGTTTTCCTTCTCTTCCTCATATCCCAGGCAGAGCTCAGTCGCCCGTGGTGGGCTCCATGTAGGCAGAGCTGCCGGCAGCTGTGAGGCAGAGCCAGTTTGGGCACGTTTCAGCTGCCTTTGGCTGGAGGCCACGCGAAAGCTCGGCAGCGGAATATGCCCGGAAGAGCTGAGTGTCCATCAGCTCTCTACTTGGGGTGAAATTCTCATGTGGGGTCACGCGTGGGACGGAAAGCATTCACCCCTCTGGTTAGAGGGAGGAACCTCGCTGAGGTAGGACCTCACCTGAAGCAAATCATTAATTTCTCTTATCTCCTATCCATTAACTCGAGTTGCTTATCCATAAATACCTAGAATTAAATAGATGGATTTTCTGGGAAGGTGGACCTTTGATTAGTCAATTCGAAACTATGCGACTGATCTTTCACCCACCAAAGCTGACAGCAAGAGCTTCCTTTGATCCAGTGGTACAAGATCAGGTCAGGCGCAGCTCAGAGATCATCACGCCTGTCCACAAAAACAGAGGCAGCGACTCAGCAGGAAGGAAGTGTGATTCTCCTAGAGTTTCTGCTTATCACTTTGCCACAGAGTGTGTTATTCAAGACATTGGGGGGGGGGGGGGTGTGGAAAAAAAAAAAAAGAATCAGTCCTGGGAGCTGAGACAGAGGGGCGTGGTGTGGTGGGTCTTTTTATTTTTTCCCCTCTTAACAGACTGAGATAAATGTAGCAATCCAAAAACGTGGAGGTGGGAAGGACGTGTGTGTGCATGTGCCTTTTATCAACTGGAGGATCATTGGATGTATCTGTTACCAAGGAGAAGCACATGCTTGGTAACAGAAGAGAGCAAAATATTTTTTTTTTAATTCCTATATGATAATAATCACTAATCTTATCATTTTTCTCATGAGGAAATTCAAAGCCCTATATTAAATTTCGCTCCGTGACAAATTTACCCAAATGAAAAAAAAAAAAAAAAAAAAAAAAATCCAAGAGTGCAGGAATGCAAGCTACCAAGATGCAGTCTTAAAAGCAGCACTACGGTGCTGCTGGAGCTGGAGGAAATTACACTGTACTTAGCCCCACTAGTCCAAAGAGCTTTCTGTAACAATAAGGCATCCTGCTTTGGGTAGTCCTCTGGTAAGGATCTGATAAAACAGAGGCAGAAGTCAGACAGTTCCAACAACTCTGCATCGGGGGGCCCTAGCGGGCTTGTGCTTGCTCTGTTTACCGCCCAGCCAAGCCCCTACTACTCTTTATAACGTTGTGACATATCCTGATTGATGGGTAGTAGCCTCCACTGAAGGGCTCTGGATAATACACAAAAAGCAGAGCCCCTCCGCGGACTTTTCTTACCAGCACCCTGGGAAAACAAAACAAAAAACCAAAACAAAACATCCAGAGTGCATGTCGCATCTTTTGCCATGCAGTGATACCAACAACTTCTGACCGCCGAAGTGTACCCACCCCTCCCGCAGCCACACGCAGCAGCTCCCGGCGCTTCGATGAGCACGAAGTACCTGTATGTACCTACGCGCTGAATGTCGCGACAGGGCTGCACCCAGCGACCGGTCCTCAGCAATGCAAATCTCGCCATTAAAAACGCATTTCTGACCAAAAAAAAAAAAAAAAAAAAGCCACCGGGGGGGGGTGTGGGGGGGTGGAGGGGGCGAGAAGGCAGGTCAAGGCAACTGAAGTATTTCTAGAGGAAAGCAGAATTACAGCGGTGGCAACCTCAGCGCGCGGAGGGGAAGCGCCGTTTTCGCGCCGCTGGGCCGGGGGGAGTTGGGCGCCGCGGGGAGCCCCGCACCGCCCCCCCGGGGGGGTCTCCTCGGCGGGGGGCTCACCCTCCCGGCCGGCGGAGACCCAGCACGCTCATCTCCCACACCGCACCCCCCCACACACACGCACTCCGCGGGGTGCCGGCAGCACACACACACACACACACACACACACACACACACACACACCCCCGCCGAGGGTCGCCCGGCGGCCCCTGCCCGGGCGCCGGTACCTTCTCTCCGGTGAGGACGTGCAGCCCCTCCCGGACCTTGGCGAAGGAGCCCTCTCCCAGCTTCCTGCCGATCAGGTAGTTGCCGACCCGCTTGGTGTGCTGGAAGTCGCGGAGCCGCTCCCGCGGCGCGGCCGCCGCCGCGCTCAGCCAGGCGGCCAGGAAGCTGCTCTCCGCGCCCGCCGCCGCCGCCGCCGCCGCCGCCGCCGCCGCCTTCCGCGCCTCCCCGCCGCCGCCCGCCACCGCCGGCGGCTCGCTCAGGAGCCCGTCGCCCGCCGCCGCCGGCATGCCCGGTCCCGCCGCTGTCCCCGCCGCCGCCGCTGCCCCCGGCCCGCCGGGCGGTCACCGGGCGGGCAGGAAAGTTGCTCGGGGGAGAACGCCGCGGGCCGGGCTGGGGCGGAGGGGCCGGGGGGGCGGAGCGGGGCTGGCGGGGGGCTGGGGCGAGCCGGCGGCGCGATGCCCCGGGCTGCCGCCCCTCATTGGATCCGGCGCCCCCCCCCCCCCCTCCTCCTCCTCCTCCTCCTGCTCCTTCTTCTTTCTCCTCTTCCTCCTCCCGCCCGCCCGCCGCCGCCGCTGCTCTGCCCCGCACCGGCTGCAGGCGTGCGGCTGCCGCGCCGAGCCGGGAGGAGGGGGCCGGGGGAGGGAGGGACCGGCCGAGGGAGGGAAGGAGGGAGGGAGGAAGGGCGGGAGGGGGAAAGGGCTCATTCAGTTTGAATTTGCGGTAATTTAATCCGCTCGCACGCAGCGGGAGCAGATGCCAGCCCAACCCGGCAGCCTGGGTGTTTTCAAACCCGGCTGGCCCCTCTTGTCGTCGTCTGTCCGTGTCCCGCCACACCCCCCCCCCGCCCCAGCACCCCAAACCAAGGGTGGCAGCGCATCCCTCTCCGGAATTAAACCATGGGTCCTGGCTCCCGGGCAGCGCCGTGACTCTGTGCGTGTGGCTCTGTTTTACAGCTGCCCGGGAATATCTTTGAGGCTGCTTTTTCCCCACCTTCCCACCCAAGCGCGCCGGAGCCCACCTCACCCCCGTGTCGGGGAAACGCGCTACCGCGACGCGATCACGGATGCCCGCCCGCGGCTCCCGCGGGCTCCGGTCGCGCTCCCCGCCTCGTTCACCACCCGCTTCTCCCTCGTATGCCTCCCGGCCCTCTGCTCTCCTCCTGTTCTGCAGCGCGGGGTTCCTGGCCGAGCACGCACACCCCCCCGCCGCCAGCATCCCCCAAACGCCCTCCGCGGCTTGGTGGACCGGCAGAAAGGAGGCGACCTGGGTGCCCCTCCGCCGCAGGCTGCGTCCGGGGGACTGTTACTTCCCTACCTATCTCCCCCACCTCGTGGAGAGGGAGAAGAAACGGGTTTCTCGTCATTCTCGCTGCCCAGCCCCCCCTCCAACCAAGCTGGAGGCTGCACTGGCAAACGGGAGGCGCACGGAGAGGCCGAGCGGGGACGGGGGACGAGGGAGAGGTGGCAGACCCACCGGGGATGCAACCTTCGGCTCACGCTACGGAAGAGCTAATAAAAGTTAATTTACCGAAATGCCTTAGGGCAAGGGGGATTGTTTAACTTAAAACCTATCCTTAGCACGGTGTCAGCAAGAAAGTAATCAAGGATCCCTATCTTTGAGCTTAATCTACGTTTTCAAGTTTTGCCGGCGTAGTTGCGTTAGTTAATGCTTTGGGAAAAAAAAAAAAAAAAAAAAAATCACACGCGCCCTAACAAACGCGAGCTATGTCAGCAAAACCTCCCGTAAAGATGCAGTTGTACCTGATAAAACCCGGCTTAGGGCTTTGCTGCAATCACACTCCCGCCCCATGTGAGGCTCCCACTAGAGGGCTGGCCAGCACAGCTCTCCCTGCACACGCTCTGCCACCTCTTTTCAAGCTCTCCTTTTACTCTTTCAAAATGTCAAGGCAGTTTTACACCACGCTGCTGTCCATTAGCCTTTGCGGCTGTCTCGACTCCACTTCTAGCACTTCACTGGGAGAACTATACCCCCTGGTCCCTTCTGCCGGAGTAGTCTGGCTGCATCACTAATCGGATTTTGGATGGCATGGGTGTTGATTAGCCATGTGTTCCTTCCACACCACCTTTCCTTGACATCACTGCTTTGGTAAAACTTCCTAATTTAAGCCAGAGCTGAGCAACGTCATGGTTTTACCATGCCGATCGTAAAGGGCAACCATTTGTAGTCTCCCCCGTGTCAGTCCAGGCTCCCCAAGCCGTAGTTAATCAGATTAAACAACATACCCATGTCTGGCTTTAGGCAAAAGGTGGGCAGCTGCCCAGGGAGCTGGTGGTGAGCAGCCCCAGGCTGGCTGTGCGGGATGAGGCATTGCTGCCAGAGACGCTGAGCCCGGCCACCTCCTGATGACCCCACGGCTGGGGCTGGTCGGGGTGCAACGGGGGTACGAGCCCGGCTGGGGCTGGTCGGGGTGCAACTGGGGTACGAGCCCTCTCCACCCACTGAGCGGCAGCAAGACAAACGCTCTTTGTCAGCCCTCTTGGCCCAGCCATGTCAGGAGTCATGCTGGTCTCCTGCCGCACTTAGGAACAGTCCTCATCCAGAGCCCTCCTCTTTCCTTGCAGGGGTAAGAAAGCATCTAGTCTGCTGGAAAGAGGGGAAGAGGAGGTGGAGGGAGCGGGTGCCCATGCTGCGTGGAGGCTGATAGCTGTGTGGCATCCTGCAAGGCAGAGTATGGGGAAGGAGAACTGGGGAAGCAGACTCGCACCACGGATTTCTGGAGTTCAGCTGGCCACTGTCCACCGTCCAAATTCAGTTCCCTGAAACTTTTACTGACCCCTCCAAAATGTATTCCCGGTGGCTAAATACAATGCGGTTCCATTGCTGAGAACCCTGGAACTGGCTCCACACTACCACACTCAATGAGATGTACATTTTCAAACAAAAGTTCAAACAAAACAGAAATATAGCACTGTGCCAGTAGGCAGAAGCTGGAGAAGAGAAAGCTCCAAAGCCAATAAATAATATTTTGGTTTTAAAATATACACTCATCGCATGCTCTGGATACATTTGCAAATATTACAGTACACAGCCACCTAAACCAAAAGGCTGCACATTCTCTGACATACCACTGTCCCAGGAGCAGTTCAGTCCCCAGTGGGAAGGGGTGGGAACACAGGACCACGACACGGTGCCTGAGCTGATGGCTGCTGTGCTGAAGTTGTGCTCCTCGTAGCTGGGGTGAACTTTGACATGATACGTCCCTAACAGCAAAACTGGCCCTGTCCCCGCTCTCCCCAATGGTGCAATGCTGTCGCAGTGTGTTTGTGCCGCTGTGTTATAAACAGGGTTGGTGAGGTGATCCAGGCTTTTTAAAAGCGCCAGGAAGTTTAAGACAACTCCTCTATTGACCTGGCCACCAGAGAAACGTAAGTGGAAATGCACAATGAGGCAGCACAGCTACCTCTGCACCACACTGTGCCCAGCTGGTGTCATGACCAAATTATCCCTGTTATCAGACCTTCCTGAATCTCCTGAATCAACTAGGATTGATAAATCTGGCTCCCACTGTCTTGGTTTGAGCCCAGAGGGCAACTGAGCACCACAATACCATTCACTCACCCCTTCTTCCTCAGGAACAAGAAGGAGAAAATAAAACAAACGGCTCAGGAATTAAGATAAGGACAGGGAGGGGTGATTACGTGTACCTGCAAAAGACAGAGACTTGCTAGGGGAAGGAAGAAAGAAAGAAAGAACATCAATTTAATTCAGACACTAACAACACCACCACTTAACAGAGTAGGACAGTGAGAAGCATTACCACATCTTAAAAACACCTTCCCCCTACCCCTCCCTTCTTCCTGGTCTCAGTTTTGTTCCCAATCTCTCTACCTCCTCACCCCCAGCAGCACAGGGGGGCAGGGAATGGGGGTCACCGTCAGTGCTGCTGCTCCTTTCTCCTCAGGGTGGGAGAGGGGGAACCATGGAGGGTGGGGGGTGGGGAACTCCTCGCATTCTTCCCCGGCTCCACCGTAGTTTCCCTCTCATGGGAGGGAAACCCTTCTTAAATACGTTATCGCAGAGGCACAGACACTGTTGCTAATTGGCTCGGCCTTGGTGCAGAGGTGGGTCCAATTTGGAGCCAGGGGAGCTTTGAGAAGCTTCTCACAGGGAGCCACCACTGAAGCCACCTCCCCGGCTACCAAAAGCCCCACCACAGAAACCCAGCACACCCACCAAATCTGAACGGTCCAGGAGAGAACTTCTTCTGTATTTCCTAAATCAAAACTGGAAGGGGGAAGGTGCCAGGAGCAAGCCTGTGTGTTTGCAGGGAAGGCGACACAATCCTTGCACTGGTCAGGACAGTGGCAAGGCGAGATCATTCAGCGGTGAGCCTGGGTCTACGTCACAGACTTCTCTGGTCAGTGTGATATATGTGCGGTTTTCAACAATATTGCTGTATGGGGAAAAAAAAAAAAGCAAAAAAAAAAAAAAAAAAGCTGTACTGCTGACAGTTACATTGGAAGAATAGCAAGCACATACTGTTTTCCAGCTGTGGAGAGACTCTATTCTATATTATTTAAAGATATGACTATGCTAAGAGGGTTTGCAACTATATTTGCTATATAGCTATTCTTGTAACGGACCAAATACATGTTTCAGACAGACAATGCAAGAATTCCCAAGTGTCTCCTGTGCAGGGAACTGGAACAAGGAAATAGGAAATATGGCTGCTCAAGAAAATGCTGGAAGACACGCCTGGATGCAGCTTCTGGCTAATCCTTATAGGCAGCGACGGAGCGCAGAGGAAAGGCGTAGCCCTGTTAAAACAGCGGCAGCCTGCCCTTGGGCAGGAAGGGCTGTAAGGTAAAGGACGTGTTCGGTAGCAGCAGGAGGCCAGCTCGTAGTTTAAATGGCAATATGTGCTAGGCAGCAAGAGATGCTTAGCGTGCACGGGCCCGCATCCTCCGCTCCCTGCCTCTAGAGCTCGTCTCAGCTGCCCCACGCCGGCCTCAGGGTCTGCGAGGAGGGGTGCCCCGAAAAGGGGTGCACATCAGCATCGATAAATCCTTACCCGCACAGGAGAGGTGAGCTGAGACCATGCGCCGTCACCCGTCTGCTTCCCTGCTGGTGCCACCTGGGGAAAGGGGGGAACCTCACACACTGCAAAACAAACGGGACCCTTCCCTTGTCCAAAGGAATAATATGCTTTCAGGCAGACAGACAGAGGTACGTGCCTTTGTTTAGGCTCACAGCTAACAGAAACACGGTGGTTTTGGCCACTGTGATGATTAAACAGATGTTAATGGTCTGGTTTTTAGTCAAACACCTGAAAATGAGCCTCTTTCAAAAATAAAACTGACAAGAAATGGCCATTGCAGCAAACATTATGAGAGCTCTGAAAGAACCCAGTGAATTTTTTTTTTCTTAATTGACTCAACTTGAGGACTTAATGAATTTACAGTATCCTTTTAAACAGGCGAGACTGCTGCCTTCTCACGATTTCTATCCTGTCCAGCTGTGCCCATCAGGGTGCAGTCTGGATGGAAGGGGGATCAAAGGCTGCATTCATTTCTGTCCATGCTTTAATTTAAATTTAACTCCAGTGTGCTTTATTCTGAGCTGCAGTCTTTCTAGGCAATGACATTTTCTGATTAACTGTTGAAATTACTAATGAATTAAGGGCAGTAGTCTGTCTTCAGATTGCAAAAGCTGTAATAACAAACTACTAAAAATAATTTAGAGCTTGATTTAAACCCATGAAAGCAGAGCAATTCAGAGTTACCCTGACAGTATTGTCCTTTGCCATCTTCAGCATTTAAAAATATTT